ATTTGCCACATTGTCGCCCACTCACCCAGTTTGTGGAGGGCTTCTTGTAGCTCTTTACAGTCAACCCTGGATTTCACCATCCTGAATAATTTTGTGTCATCTGCAAACTTGGCCGCTATGGTTCTCACCACTAGCTCCAGATAATTTATTAATAAATTAAGTAGTACAGTTTTCAATAGTGATCCTTGTGGCATCCTACTGCTTACTTTCCTCCATTGTGAGAAACGTCCACTGATTCCTACTCTTTGCGTCCTGTCATTTAGCCCAGTTTTTAATCTATAAGAGAACCCATCCTCTTATCCCATGACGGCTAAGTTTACTCAGGAGTCGTTGGTGAGGTACTTTGCCAAAAGCCTTTTGAAAGTCCAGGCATTTAATTTTTACCAGGTAACCAATTTCCCACATGCTTGTTCATTTTTTCAAAGAACTCCAAAAAGGTTAGTGAGGCAGGACTTCCCTTTGCAGAAGCCATACTGATTTTCTGTTCCCAACTGGTGCAATAACTAATATGTGTCTCACCAGATCTTGGGAGCCACTCAGAACCAAGTCCAAGTGTACTCTTCTGGTTGGCTCAGTGACCGACTGTTGCAGTAGAGAGTCATTTATGATGTCTAGGAATCTCATTTCTACAGCATGACTTGAGCAGACATTTACTCAGTCAATGTGAGGGTAGTTGAAGTCTTCCAGTATAATAATGTTATCTGTTTTAGTCACTTCCCTTATTTTTTTCTCCCATCTCAAGATCAGTGTCAAAGGTTTGATCAGGTGGGCGATAGCACAACCCCACTTTTAAGTATCCCTTAGAGCCCAGTATTTCCACCTGTATTGCTTCTGTTGCACAGTTAATTCCCCTGATGTTTTCTAACTTATTTCGTTGCATGCCCTCTTTGATGTATGATGCAACACCACCACTAACCCATCCCTCCGTGCCCTGTCTATAGAGCTTATACCCAGGAATGACTGTATCCCATAAATTTTCCTCATTCCACAATGTTTCTGAGTTAGCTGCTATATCTAAATTGTCATTGTACACTAAGCAGCTCCCCCATCTTGGCTTGGAGACTTTAAGCATTGATATATAGACACCTGTAATATGTCTTCCTCTCCAGTAACCCTCAGCTCCTTTGGCTCCTTAGTTGCCACACATGGCCCTCAGTCTCCATTGTGCCCTCACTCCCAAATTCTGTTATGCTTCTATCAATATTACCCTGAGTATTTACACAATCATCCATTTGGACTGACTCCAATCCCACTGGGATTAGTTTAAAAGCTGCTCTGCCACCTCTTTGAGATTAGTCGCCAGCAGCCTGGTTCCCTTTTTGTTCAAGTGAAGCCTGTCTCTTTTGTACAGGTACCGCTTGTCCCAGAAAGTTCCCCAGTGCCTAGTAAATCTAAACCCTTCCTACTGACATCACTTTTTCATCCACACATTGAGATCTCTGATCTGTGCCTGTCTAGCTGGCCCTGCATGTAGAACCAGCAGCACTTCTGGGAATTTATTTATTTATCAAATTTCTACCCTGCCCTCCCAAGCCAAGGCCGGTTCAGGGCCGGAATGTTACCTTTGAGATCTTGGTCTTTAACTTTCTGCCAGTAACATAAATTTTTCTTCCAGGACCACACAACTACATTTCCCAATGTCATTGCTGCCAATATGGACCATGACTGCTGACTCCTCCCAGTGCTGTCAATCTATCTAGACAGCATGTGATGTCTGCAACCTTCACACCAGGCAGGCAAGTCACTGTGTGGTCAGAATGCCTGTCACAGACTCCACTCTATTCCTAATAATTGAACTACCCACTACTAGAAGCCCAGCTCTCCCCAAGCTCCCCAGGGGCATCCTCTGTACGAGAGGATATTGGTCCATTAGAAGGATCCCTTCTAAGGGATCGCATCCCTCAAGACTGATGCCTTCTGACCTTTGCTTTGCTTCCCAGTTTCTGGTTCTTTGCTTCCTAGCCCGGCCGGTTTGCATACTCCTTTGAGCACCTTGCTCTGCAATAGAGGCATACATATTTTTAAATACCGACTCTCTTTTATAGTATCTTTGGGTTCATTTGTAACTGGAATTTCCTTTGGAGTTTAGAAATAAAACCCTAGAAGAACTGTTCAGCATAAAAAAAATCTTCATATTTGCATAGCATAATGGATTAGAATACTTTAATTTTGTGTCTCATGATTTAATTCCCTCCATGGTTCAATTCTAATAAACAAATCTTACTGCATTGTACCATTGCTCCCTTTTTGCTTGTTGCTGAAACTTCTTTTCATAGGAAAGAGGGTGATGGGTGTATGTATGCATGGGTGTATGTATCTTTTGTATGCTTTCCCCAGTGGGATCAAAAACAGCAGGGAGGAGACAGTTTTCAGTAGAGAAGAGTTCAGAAACCCTTTTTAATGTGAATCATGGCTTCAAATAGCCTCAGCGGCTGCATAGTAAAACAACAGAACATCCCTGAAAGGAGACATGGAACTACACATGGCATATAACTTGCCTTTGGATGATGATTGGAAAGCCAAATTGTATAGAGAGGTTTTTGTAGAAATGTAGTGCAAAGTATAGATATGCGCATGTAGCACAATTGCCAAGGCATAACTGGAACTCCTATTATACTGCCATTAGAAGTAATATTTTTGTAGCTCACTCAGTAGAGCAGCCCTGATAGACACTCAGGACTTGTCTGCACCAAAGGTTCAGGTCTCCTTGTTTATTTAACCCTTTGGACTGTGTGTCTCAGGGAAAGAAACATGCACACGTATTAGGGGTGTGCATTTGGATTTACCTGAGCCGAAAATATACCCGTAAATATCTTATCTGTATTATTCAGGTATATTTTGGCTTCCCAAATATATCTAGGTTTTCTTGGGAAAATAAAAAAAAATCCAGAGAAAATCTCAGGTATATTCAGGAATTAACTAGTAGATCTGAAAACATTGGAGAGGCAGGAGCAGATTGCTCCCATCTCTCAGCTGTTTATCGGGCTTCTACTGCAGTCCCTAGTTTAAAGGGACTGCAGAAGACAGCCCGAGGATCAGCTGTGTTGTGGGAGCAGACTGTTCCTGCTGGCTTGTCTTGGGGCTGGCTCCTCGTGCAGCCTAGTTTAAACTGAGGCAGAAGCTGCTGTGCCACAGGGAGCAGTCTGCTGCAATTGTACACCTATACCAGAGTTACACCAGTGTAGAGCTTGCATATGTGAGCATAGGGCTTTTTCACCATTCTGTTCAGGGACAGGGTTTAGGACTGAGATGTAAGATACAAAATCTTATTTTGTTGACATACAAGAAGATACAAAATCTTATTTTGTTGACATAGTTCTGAAGTGCATTCTGAATTGTATCTAAACGGAACATTACTTTAAAGTATCTTTTGGTATAGTTTTTATGTGAACTCTTCTTTTCTTATCACATTGCGATCTTATACAAGCCCTGCGACCAGTCTTGGCTGGTGGGAGAAGGTAGATAACCTGCTGCTTTCTTGCAACTTCCAGGTTTGTTGTTCTGATACTGACTTTCCTCTTGCCCTCTCCTGGAATAGAATCCCCACTGTCGCCATGTTTATAAGGCAGATTCAGAGCACAAACACCAGGACAGATGATGTGGGGGAGACCTGTTTTAGTGATTGTCTCTTACCTCGTAAAGAGTTGTGTTTCAGATAGGTCTCTTGCCTGCTGGTGATGGGACTGTGCATATATTGAACTGTTTTGAGTGAAGTACTAACTAGTGGTGATGCAGAATTCACAATTGGGAATGTTTGGAATCTCTCCCTGTATGAGCCCCGCAGAGCTTTATGCTCTTCTGATCAACACCTCCTGGTGATCCATGGCCCGAGGGACGTCCGCTTAGCCTCAACCAGAGCAAGGGCTTTTTCGGCCCTTGCCCCGCCCTGGTGGAACATGCTCCCACTTGAGACCAGAGCCCTTTGGGACCTATTACAGTTTCACAGGGCCTGTGAAATGGAGCTGTTCCGCCAGGCTTTTGATTGAGGCGGTGGATGTTAAACCATTCTGGCCTCCCCTGTTTATGGCTCCTCTCCCAGTGCCTGCTGACAGATAATATTAGTGGGCACTGGAGCACCTATATTCACCTGATATGAGGCATGGGGTTCGATGATATTGTTTATTGTGCCATCAGTTGTTTTATTGCTTTTACTGTTTTATTGTTTTACTACATATTGTAAGCTGCCCTGAGCCCATGTGTGGGATAGGGTGGGGTATAAATTGAATAAATAAATAAAATAATTCCTGTAGTTTGGAAAATGAGCCATTATGAGCCAAGTCTAAGCCTTTCTGTGATTTGGGCGTGGCTAGAGTTCCTCAGTTCTGGATAACTTTTCTGCTGCCAGTCCTCCCCCCCCTTCACAAAATCTACTCTAGTGATGGGGCAGCAGCAGGAGCAGCTGTTATGAAATATTTTATCCTATGAAATATTTTCACTTTGAGAATGAGTAAGATGCTTTTAAAGACAAGGTGAGCATGCTGTAGACATATACAGCTCTTAAATCCAAGATGCATTTCTGCACTTAGAAGGATACTGAATCTTCATGATGGGAGCATGCAGTGCCTTCATGGTTTCTCAGTAGTTGTATGCCTTCTCTTGTCGTTCTGACCTTATGCGGTTGACCCTTTCACGTCTCCCTCAAACAAATGTGACACATTTACCCACAGACTAGGTAGCTTATTGCCTTACCTTGCAGGAAGGAGAGAAAAGATCAGAAGGTGGCTTTAGCAACACCCTCACCTTTAGTGTCTGGATTTTCCTCTGGAACATCCATTGCCACTGTGGAGTCTTGGAAATGGAGAAGGAGAGGGAAAGGAACTACTTTTTAAAAACATCCCCTAGTTTCACAAATATTGTTCGTTCGGAGTTATGTGAGTTGCATTGAATACTTGAATAACCTAGTGTGTTGCAAAGATAAATAACAAATGGTTGGAAATATATGTTCATTAAAAAACCCTCTGTCAGATGTTGGAACGTCATTCTTTTTTATTTCATTACAGGATTTGGAATTCCATGGAGTTATGAGATTTTATTTTCAAGACAAAGCAGCTGGAAATTTTGCAACTAAATGCATCCGTGTGTCTAGCACTGCCACAACACAGGATGTAATAGAAACGCTTGCAGAGAAATTCCGTCCAGATATGCGAATGTTATCCTCGCCTAAATACTCGCTTTATGAAGTGCATGTCAGTGGAGGTTAGTGTATTCTCTCTGGGACTTTAAAAAAACACATGGACCATTCAGTACAAGAATGGTTTGTCCACTTGTGGTGACAAGGGAATTTACAGGACTAAACTCTAAGTACATACTAATGCCTAGAGGTGTGAAGGCCTGGGGGGGGGAAGGTTCCCCCCAGGACTTTTTTCCAGTTTTTCTGATGGAAAAATGAGACATTTTGGGGAGTACTGAAAAAAACTCCTATGAAATATTTTCTCTTTGAGAATGAGTAATGAGTAAGTTTCATTGAGAACTTAGCTCTCTCCAACTAGATAACAAAATTAAGGTACATATGCTGAGATAGCACAGGGTACATCAATCAGCTTGTAGTTTTCTCTCAGGTATTGAATATATTTACAGTTTTGCTTGTACAAAACTAAGGTATTTGTAACTTTAAAATTTCATAAATATGTCAAATATTGTGAATTTATAAGGTAAGTTAGAAATGATGCATGATGCACGTTATGTTGTTAAAGCCGTAAAATTGGTTTAGGTTTGATAGGACAGTAAACATTGTATCTATTTCAATTTTTCCCCCAGTTTCTGTTCTTTTCCTGAAAAGTTTTTTCCCCAGTGGCTTCAAAACTTTTGGAAATTTTACATCTCTACTAATGCCACAAACATTTTACAAAAGGGATAAATTGAATAAATAAATAAAATAATTCCTGTAGTTTGGAAAATGAGCCATTATGAGCCAAGTCTAAGCCTTTCTGTGATTTGGGCGTGGCTAGAGTTCCTCAGTTCTGGATAACTTTTCTGCTGCCAGTCCTCCCCCCCCTTCACAAAATCTACTCTAGTGATGGGGCAGCAGCAGGAGCAGCTGTTATGAAATATTTTATCCAATGAAATATTTTCACTTTGAGAATGAGTAAGATGCTTTTAAAGACAAGGTGAGCATGCTATAGACATATACAGCTCATAAATCCAAAATGCATTTTTGTACCTAGAAGCATACTGAATCTTCATGAGGCGAGCCAAGCAGGGCTCTCATTGCTTCTCAATAGTTGCATGCCTCCCACTGACCTGATGTAATTGACCTTTCCACCTCTCCCTCAAACCACTGTGACACATTTATCCACAGACTGGGAAAAATTAGCTTATTGCCCTACCTTGCAGGAGGGAGAAAAAAGATCAGAAGTAAGTGGGGCAGAAACCGGTGATGGGGCAGCAGCAGGAGCAGCTGTTATGAAATATTTTTTGCAATTACAGGCATAGTGCTGATCATTGATCAGTTTTGATCAAGTCAGTGAGAAGGCTGGTATTTAATGGACTGAACTGTTCTTGAGAACAGGGGATGTATTCAGTCAGGGCACATTTCAATTCTGGTTTTGAGTTTACATCACTGAAGGTGGTTCTTGGCTTCAGTTTCTTTTTTGCTACTGTTTAGGGGTGTGCAAAAAAAAATTCGGAAAAATTCAGATTCGGGTTTACTGGACCCGAATTTTTTCGGGAAACCCGAAAAAACCCGAATATCGGTAAAGCATAGATATCTGAAATTTTTCGGGAAACCCGAAAAATTTGGGTCCATTATAACCAATGGGGCCATTGAAGTCAATGGTAAAAATCCTCTTGAAACTTTGTGGGGGGCTGGGGGGGAGGAGGTTCGGGGTAGAGGCGCCAAACCTGGAGCGTTCTTACTGG